GACAAAGTGCACATCACGTGCCTACGTTTTGGGCATGTGTGGCCCATGATTGAATATTGAATATTTCTGCTATTCGTTCAATCCTAATATGTGATGTTGTTATGTATGTTTACTTACTGAGTATGGTATGGACTGTGTTCATGGACACCTTGTTTGACTAAGTCACGTTGACTCGCGGGTGACGTCATTTAGTCATACGGCGGTTGTACACGCGCTCAGATGCGGTCTGGGGCGTGACACGAAGGGAGTACTCGGTATTAATTTTTTATTTAAAAGTAAGAGAAGAGAGAGAGATCGATAAAATGATTGTGTGAATGATTAGAGTAAACAAGTGGAAGTTGTAAAGTTTATGTAAGAAAAAACAAATAAATCATTATAATTTAGTTATTGTTTTAAATAAATCACAATGAAATATTGCTTTATATTCATATAATAATAAAGCGTCCAAAACATCCGTACAAAAAAGTTTGGAGTATGTGATATCATGCACGTAATTCATGTTACCAATTCACCATGCTTAAGCAATCATTGATCAGGGTCTGTCTCTCACGGAGTAGTTCTCAGTTTCAGTGATATTTTCAATTTGTTTTGACCTTTTGGTAAATTTGACCCAACCAATTTCTCTCCGAAAAATTCATTCTTATACACATCATTACACCTTTGTGTCTGTGAGAATTTTTTTGTTGAATGTCAGTTCACAGACAAAACCTGACTTGTTTTGTCTGTGGAAAATTCTAGAGACAAACACGTCAGATTTTGTCTGAGAACTGACATTCACAGACAAAAATACTCTCACAAACACGGAGGTGTACTGGTGTGTATAACAACGTCTACACCAAGAATATTTGTTTGTCTCAAGTACCATTTGGGTTCAAAAATTCAATATTGAACTTAGAGCCCGTTTGGTAGCCCGGAAATCGGTTGGTTTGGTTGTTTCTGCTAAAATTTATGAAGTTCTGGCTGAGGTGGCTACATTAGCTGATTCTAATGATTTAAATTTTTTAAATTTATTTTATTAATAAAATAAAGAAAAAAATATATGTAAAAATAGTTAAAATGGTCATGTACAGTAACTTCAGCCAATACAGCCAGAAAAGTAACTTCAACTTTACTTTTTCTGCTTATTACACAATTCAGTGCGCAAAGGCATAAATTAGGTGTTTGCTAAAAAGGTTGACTGATAAGTCTGATAAACCAAAATAACACCGAAAATCCAAATCTTTTCACATTTGCGAACATATATAGGAGTATTACATCCCGAAAACGTTCACCGTAATAATCCCTACTTGTAACATTTGTTTTTTTTATGCAATTCTAATTATATCATACCATCTGTATATTTGAAAAGTTTGGCCCCTCCTAGATTGAAATCATGGATCCGTTCTTCATGATTACATATATCACAACAGACCACTCTGATTCGGAGTATCAAATGATAAATAATACTCCTTCCGGTGTTTAATAAACTTCACACTTTCCTTTTTGGGACGGTCTAAAATAAACTTCACACTTCCTTATTTCCTTTTTTGGCAAAGAAATCTACATCAAAACAGTGTCAAACAGTGCCAAACAGTGTCTCAACAGTGCCAAACAATGTCTCTATAGTGCCAAACAGTGTCAAACAGTGCCTCAACAGTGTACTCTACAGTGAAGTCAAATTTCTTTCCTTATTTTGTGTGAAGTCAAAGTGTGAAGATTAAATAAAACCGGAGGGAGTACTTCGTATAATCGATTAACAACTACTTATACACGTATGTATTATTTTAGAGCTAGAAAGAAATTAGTCGCTCCGTCCCACTAATCATGGGACAAGAGAGAGTGACACGCAAACTAATAAAAAATGAGTTATGTGGTTGATATTGAATTGATATAGTAAGAATAAAGTAAAAAAGATTTGGAATCACACAAATTTTGCCAATTTGGTATGAGACAATTTTAGTGGGACAGATCGAAAAGGTAAAATAGGACAATCTTAGCGGGACGGAGGTAGTATATATTAAATCCTCTATACCTTAAAATTTTGTCACCTTTTCTTTTTAAAATGTCTCAAAAACTTCGTCACTTCCTCTTTCGTCACTTCCTCTTTTAAATCCTCTATACCTTAAAATTTTGTCACCTTTTCTTTTAATTAACTACTCCGTATTTTTAAAATAGTTTCTGTTATTTCTGTCTCATCTACACAAACCTCAATCAAACAGTTTTTACTTCATTATTTTTTATGTCGGTCCAATTTGACAAAAGTTTTAAGGGATTGAGAGATCGAGTATGAAGCTTACCCTTTACAAGGCTCCCAAAGGCGAGTATATATATAGAGAGAAAAATGTAGGCTCCACTAGCAGCTTGGGCCTAGCAAACCCAATTACACCAAAAGGCTACTAAATGGTATAAAGGATGCATTTGCATTTAACGGTTAGCGGATAACGGCTTATGTTAGTGGGTAAACAATAGTGGATTGAACGGATTTGACTAGAGGCACAAATTGGCCGGTTGACAGAAGATGTTTGGTAATTTAGTTGTTTGGTCGTCATAAAAATAAATAGAAAACACCATTTTTCAAAACGTTAATCCAAAACTCTCATATTTGCAGCGTCTCCATTTCAACAATTTCGTCCAAAAAATGCTAGGGCTGAAAAGCTATTTATCAAACAATGTTTTCTTTATTGGAAACGCTAAAAGTGATCAAACTGTCATTTTTTGGCTGAAACGTCATTTTCCAAACACTCCCAAACACTAGTCTACTACTCTACTACATAGCTTATCTTTTTTATCCTTATTATTTTCTTTCTTTTCCTTTCGGTGATATCATGTATCGATTCATGTTAGCCGACCCCAATATCTTTTGGGACTAAAGCTTGGATGTTGTTGTTGTTGTTGTTGTTGTTTCGTTTAGGGATGTAGTTTGATGCACTTTCTTCTTTTGATGAGTTTTCTCTTTAAAATACTTAATTAGTCTTATTTTTTCTACCTTTTATCTTCTTTTTTCATACTTTTAGATCAACCATCATACTTTTTCTACACTATCCTCTTTAGACAATGTGCCAAATCTATATATAGCAATCTTTAAAATATTGAGTATAATTTAATCCAGTCTCGACTTAATCGGTCCTTGGTGTTAACTCTTTGTATGGATGATTGTTAATTGTTGTATTACCTCCATTCCTAAAAATCTTCCCCGATTTGACTTGGCACGTTTATTAAGAAAGTGGAATAAAGTGGAAGTGTATGGTTGTAGTTGTGTAAGAAAAAGGTAAAATGAATGTGACCTACACAAATTGTACAAAAAGAGAAAGTGAGAAGTATTTTTGGAAACAGTCCAAAAAGGAAAGTGGGAAGTATTTTTGGGAAGGGGAAGACTACCTCATTAGTTTGCCAAGTAGTACATGTATTTAAGATACAATTAGGGTTACTTAAATCTGATATAAAACACTTACCACTCACTGACATATATAGAACTACAAACTACACACACCATATATCCAATCTTTATTTGGCTCATCGTCGCATAATATTGAACTACATTGCTTTAAATATACTGCAACAGTCGATATATTTTTATTATGATGAATGAACCCCCATTTATTATTAGGTCCCCCGCACCAACCATATAATTAATTCTAACAGTTTGATTAATTGATTCTTACGGAGTATTTATTTTGATATACACAGTACAATCGGCATCATCAAATACGTACATATAGCCATATAGGGGTTTCATTCGGAGTATGATGCACGGTTTTCCACCAAGAGACTCCCACTTGCAAACATGTCAAGAGTTATTCACATCTCGGGAATGAATTGCAAACAGAATCTACATATGTGACTAAAATAAAAAGCAAAGACTTTTGAAAGCTTTCAGTGCATTCGTCCCCCTAAGTTTGGGACAACAAAAGGTGACACGATTATTAATAAAAATGTATTTGTATGATTGATATTGAATTGATAAAGCAAGAATAAAGTAAGAATGATTTAGAATCACACAAACTTTACCAAATAAAGTATGAGACAATCTTAGTGGGACGGACCGAAATGGTAAAATGGGACAATCATAGCGGGACGGAGGGAGTAGCATTTAATATGCTCAATTTCTATTCTATATACTCTCTCTCGAAACAAGTTCTCACTTTCCTTATTTGGATGTCTCAAAATAAACTTCTCATTTCCTTATTTGGTAAATTATCTACATAAAAAAAGTGCAAAACAGTGTCAAACAGTGCAAAACAGTGGCAAACAGTATCGAAACAGTGTCGAACAGTGTCAAAACAGTAAAATTTACTCCTTAGTAACTTTATGTACTTAAAATGTGTGAAAGTCAACCCAGGAACTTATTTCCGGGACGGAGGCAGTATATTTTATGATTAACTTTGTAGTCAGATCGATATTTGTTTTAGGTATGTTTTACCACTGTTGAAGTCTCGTGTAATCTGTTATGGTCTGATTAATTTTGTCTGTGTAAGTCTAATCTGATATAACATGGTTTGATCAGATCTCCGACTAAAGCATCCTTACTCGTATATAGAAAGTGCAACCAAATCTGCTTCAACGATTTATATATAAAGAAAACTAAATATAATTTTTGAAGGAAAAGAAAAATTTATTATCATAATATTTATGTTGAATGATTAGTTCATGTGTTATATTTAATTTTAAATATTATATTAAACTTATGGTTGATTACCAAAATTGAAGTACTACCTCGGCTTAAGGTTCCAATGAAAAATGATACCATTATTTATACTATAATAATGATAACAAAATATAAATCTTGGTCATCTAAGGATGTTTTTACTTGGACTGTAATTTGCTGGTCTGGTCTGATCTGGTCTGGTAAGGTCTGACTTCTTTATATTTTTATAACTATCCAAGTCTGGTCTGGTGTGGGACAAATTACAATCCAAATAAAAACATCCTAACACAAAAACCAGTTCCATATTACTCCATCCCTACCGTAGAGTCTTTGATTAGGGAGTTCAAATAACTCCTTTCAAAAAGAGTGTGTGAAGTGTCTATATGCATTTTGTCTATTTATAATATTCATAATAAAACCACGTTACAAGTGAATTGATGTTACAATTAAGAAATTACTCCAAAACCCTACTTCTAAATTACAATTACAACTAAAAGATAGATAGGTTTCCATTGTACAAATTACAAAATGCTATACAATACCAAGGAAGAAACGCTCCAAAAAACCTAATTGGGTATGTATATTTTTCTTCTTTAATTCTTTCCTTTCATTACCGGTTCACTTATAATTCCCTTTAGGCTCTAATAATTAACAATCAGGATAAACTCTGGCATCTAAATATAATAATGAGCATAAATATTTCAAAATCACCAGACTATTATCCTCATTTTTGTTTCCTGTCATAGTGGTCGATACCACGGGTAAGCCAGAAAAACCCGGTCTCCGGTTCAACTCAGTGAGTGAACTCAGACCCGGAATGGACTCACCCGATATTACCAAGCTCACCTTCTCAAGTACCAACTCATTTTGGACGAGGTTGTTGATGACTTCGAGCTCAGTCACCGGCCTCTTCTTCTTATGTTGTATTGCCTCCCCGACGATCCCGGTCAGCATTGTGCTCGAAAACAGTCGGATCCCCCTAGCCCCGCCCGAAATGATTCCGGGGGTGACCCATTTTTTATCCGAGTTCTTGACGCGTTTTGCTGCAGGAGACGGAGTGACTGTTCTTAAATACACTGACTCGGGATTCTTGTGCTTGACTCGCCCGAGTGGGTCTCCGAGTAGAAGAAATTCTTTTGCGTCCACCAGAGTCACGTGCTTGAAATTTCTCCTGACTCGTCCGAGTAACATGGGATAACACGCCCATCTTCTCAAGCTCATGGGCACGTGGTCAAGAAACCCGGCCAGAGAATTCTCCGGGTCAAGCTCGTCGGCGTCGAACCCCACCACCGACCCGTAACTCAGCCGAGTCGACTCAGTCGAGTTTCCTCCGCCGGAAAACCTCCGTATTTTGCGCCCCCAGATCGGCGCACTGCTCGCCTTCATCTTCTTGTCGGAAATCATGAAATGTGCCGCGTCGAAAGCATCCGTGGAGTTCTGACGATTTCCGGCGTGGAGGAGCTTCAAGAACCGCCCGTTCTCCTCCGCGACGACCCGGTCGTGGGACGCCGGCTTTGACCGGAAAATCAGCAAAATGTCCGATTTCGCGTATATCCCGGACCGGAAAACGAGTCTCAGGAATAGCCTGAGGTCGTGCGCCGTGAGAGATTCTCCGGCGTGAGCTACGACGAGATGGCTCATCGCTCTGCTTCCTCTCCGGTACAGAGTGCCCATCCCCTGCAGCGCGGCGTGGCGGATGGATAAGTAATTGGAGGCCGGATTTTGCAGTCTCCTTGCCGAGAAATGGGAGGAATCGGCGGCGGGGTCGAGGTAAATGGTGAAGAAAAGAAGAGTGAGGAAGAAGAAGAGGAGGGCGGCGATGGAAATGGTGGAGCAGAGGGCGGTGGAGATTGAACGGCGGAGTAAAGCATTGATGGGCTTGAATGCCGACGGATTAGAGAAGAGATCAAGGGCGGTTTCGTTTTCGGAGAAGAAGAGGAACAGAAAGCCCATTGATCCATTGCTGGCTCTGCCGCCGGTACCAGTACTGCCGCCACCGGCGTTGTTGTTTTCCCTGGCCGCCCACGTCGCCGGGAGTCCCATTCTATGAACTCGCAACCTATATCTAGTGGGTAGCCTCCTCCTGCTTTATCATTCAAGAATGATGAGTTGGATTTTTGCCACTTTTTTGCCTTTTCACTTTCGCTTTGACTAACTTTTTATTTGTGCATATCTCTCGCCGAATATAATAGCCCTTCCATTTGGTGATCTCACTTTTTCAACTTTATCAAGTTTATGGGTGAACTTTTTTTTGAAACAGTAATTTTTTATTTTTTGCGTGGAATCGTATGATAATAAGAAGAAGTAAAATTCAATCGCTTTTCTAATTGTTTTAAAAGCAATCGCTTTTCTAATTGTTTTAAAAGGTATTATAGAAGATCATTTTAGGTGTTTCTCATATAATTTTTTCTTTACTTAATTAATTAAATATATTTTAGATGTTGTGAGAACTTGCATTGATCATTGATGTGTTGATTGTTGATTATTCGATTTTTCGTATTTTCTATTAATGGTTGCAGTACTAAACCATATGATTCTTTTGTATCAATTAGACGATTATGATCACTTTTTCATAAACCTATGTTTTACGCTTTCAACTCTTACTAAAAGGCATTCACCTATGTAAACTACATATCTTAGTGTATATATACGAAAAATAATTTTCGTTCTCCCAAAAAATATTTTGTTTAAATTACCGCCCTCCCAAGATGAATTTCATGGGTCCACCTCTGATCTCATATTACCTTGGTAAACTAGTTAATGTAAAAAGATGGTGTGAGATGAGCTTGTTCGGTTCTGGTTTTCAAACATTTAATCCATTTTTCTTTTATTTATGGATATAGTCAGGCTAATATAGATAACTAAGCATCAGCAAAACAACTAATTAGTCATGGTAATCAAGAAAACCAGTGCCTATATAAGTACATTTTTGTCTATGGTGATGTTTTATAAAATGACACTAATTTTTAATTTCGTTTTTCATTACACAGAGCATATATCATTATTCAGCATGATACATACAATACATATGCCACACAGACAAAAATTATGGTGGCTCTATTTTTTAGTGACTTCCATTATTCTCAAGTATCAATTTTCTCAATGCATTGACAAAGTAAAGGTGAAAATGACAATGAAGAAGAGAGTGAAGAAAGAAAAGGAGAGAAGGGGAGGAGGAGGAGGAGGAGGTTAAGGAATTCATGGTCTATAAAGTTAGGTCTTCTTGCTCCAAAATATGTTCGATCTATTGTGTTCTGAATCAGAGGAAAACTTTCAGCGATGTTGGTTAAGGAATTTATGGTCTACTCAAGGCTTTTTAATGAGGATTTCTAAATGAACTCCACAAATTAAACTTAACATTGAATCAACGATTGTTCCTATCTGGCTTTGAAAGATTGTCGATCCACCTGTTTGATAAAAAGATTGTTCTCAATTGCAAATTTAATTGGTAAGCCACTTTAAAAAGACGCAGCAACTGCGAATCTCACTAGGCCATTTGTTGCTCGTGTTTGTATGGGGATAGATTCCTTGAAAATCTTGCTACAGAATGGACATAAATGATTTGTGCAATATGTATCATATCAAGACATTCCCAAGTATTGTAAAGGTTGCTTTAAAATAGGGCATGCTTTGTGCAAAAAGTTCAAGAAATTTCACAGATTTCTCAGAAGATATAAGTAAACATTTTAATTAATCTGTATGAAAAATGATTTTTATGCTTAATGATTTTGTTTTTATTGTAAGAATTCTGATTAATAGTAGTAATATGTACAATATGAGTTTGATCTTGTCTTTACAAATATATATTTGCGTGAAATATTGTTAATAAAGAATAGCAAAAGTATAACTACCGGCTTTTAAATAGACTAATCTAAGACCAATTTTAAGTTTAGACAAAAAAAAGACCAATTAGTCGTGAATAGACCGGAATACCCTCAGACACAACCGTTCTTCTCCTCTTCGCCTCTCGGTCTTCTCAAGGTTGCAGCGGACAACACCTCGCCATCTCCTTCTCATCCTTCCTGACTCCCAACGCACAACACTTCTATTCTCACCTTCGGCCGCCACAACCGTTCTGCCGCTGCCACCATTCAACCACCTCAACCACCGATCGGAGTTTTTCCTCCTGAATTTCTGCATCTACGACAAAAACGAGCTTATAAACTAGTGGCTACGCAAATCCGTCGGTGACGGTTGGCAGACAACAAAGACGCATGTTGCAATGAACAACTGGGATTGTGCAGATCCGGCGGGGTGGCGACTTTGAGTGCTGGGATAGAACTAGCGGCAATTTGGTGGCTAATCTAGCGTTGATTTTGGGGGCTAATATGGCCTCGATTTTGGTGGCTAATCTGATTTTGACTTTGTGGGCTGTGAAACAATGTTGGTGGAGCCGTAGAAGGATGTTGCAGGGGGCTGCGAACTTGGGCGTGGTTAGGGCAGGTACAGGGGGAGGGGAAGTGGTTGAGGTCCTTGAGGAAAAGGGCTGAGTGGATGGCCTCTGAAGGGGCTAGCTTAGGGGGGAAGAGGTAGCTACGGTATTGGGGCCACTGGGGGTAGGAGATGGTGCAAGGCAAGGGGTTGGGGGAGGGTATTAGTCACTGTGACTCAGTCACTGTGGCCGGCGGCAGTTGGCGGCGGCGGTTGGCGGCAGTGGTTGGCGGGTGGCGATTGCTGGTCAAGACAGTGTTGGTCATTGGTTGACGGCGTTGGTGACTGGGCAGCGAGTTTGGTCACTAGGTGATTGTAACATGTGAGTCGAGTAAGTGAGTAACTGTAACTAGTGAATCGCGTAATAGTAACTGGTGAATCGCGTAACTGTAAGCAGGCGGTCACTAATCAACGACGGTGGTTACAGTGGAGGTGGTCATTGTGGTAGTGGTCACTATTTCGGGTCAGATCATTGTAGTGGTGGTCAATGGAGCGGTAGTAACTGCATGATCACCGGAACGGGTGGTCACTGGAGCTAGCGGTAGTAATTGGAACGAGGTGGTCACTGGAGCGGTAGTAACTGGAACGGGGTGGTCACTGTAGTGGTAGTAACTGAGGCGGTAGTAACTAATTAAATATGATGGTGGTCACTGCAATGGTAGTAACTGGAACGATGATCATTGGAGCGTTAGTAACTAAGATCATAGTCACTAGAGCGGTAGTAACTGGGACGATGGTCACTGAAGAGCGTTAGTAACTGAGATCGTTTTTACACAAATTTTAGTCTAATAAATTAAATATTTAAAATTGTTAAAAAAGATTAAATATTTACAACTCAAATATTTCTGTATCCTAATGCGTAGTACTTCGTATCTAACTTGAGAAACAATATTAAAATATAAAGAAGCAGTGAAGCACTATGTTAGAGAGTGCATTCGTACACAGTGCATTCTTACGCACCGAAGTTATCCGGATCAAGCATGCAACGTTGAAGTTTTCCGGATGTAGGAAGAGTTCGTATACCGTGGTTAGGGATGGCAATGGGGCGGGGTTGGGGCGGGGGTTCACTCCCCCATCCCCCGCCCCGTGTCTAAAAAATCGCCCCCACCCCCGCCCCATCCCCCACTACTATTCGACCCGCCCCATCCCCGCCCCGACCCGCTAGACCCACGGGTACCCAACGGGGAAGTACTCGTCAAAAATTAACATCATTTTAGACTCTGGCAATTTTTCAAAAATTTAACAACACTTCTAGTAGCCAATTTTTTTTTTACTTTTTAAGTGTCAATGTAATCTTACATCTCATTTCAAATCTAGAACACATTATACGCGTTCTAAATTAGTAATTTTTATCAAACTCTAAATTAGCATTGATTAGCTCTATAATATTTTCTTAAACTCTGCATTCAATCAATCATGATCATTTGACGGCATCTAGGATGACATATGATCACCAAATTTTAAGAGCCCTAACTACAATCATAAAGATGACATTCAAAAGAAAAGAATTAATGCATTATAATAGTAAAGGAAAAAAACTTTCACACCGTGCCTGAGGCGTTTAAGCTAATATCACTTTATAACTTTCCCAAATTCATTTTATTTTATCTCTAAAAAATTCATTTTACTTTATGATTTTGATAAGCAATTTTACAAGATAGCTTAGTTATTAAACAAGAATTAGATAGATCCATTACGCACAATCCATTAGATAGGAAACCACTAAACCCACCGGACCACCATGCTATTTTAATTACTTCGTATTAGTATTATTATTATTATTAGTATTATTATTGAGATTATTATTATTAATTATTACGGGGGACGGGGCGGGGACGGTGCGGGGGTGCATAACCCATCACCCGCCCCATATTTTTGCGGGGAGAAAATATCTCCCCCACCCCACCACCCGCCCCACCCCACCACCCGCCCCAACTCCCCCCCACGGGGCGGTTCCCCACGGGCCCCCGCCCCCATTGCCATCCTTAACCGTGGTACAGGTGCACAATGAGCATCATGCTCCCAGGGGTAAAACGCGGATGAACAGTAACTTTGTTTTTGTGTTTCAGTAGCAGAGTGATGTAACTCACGTTTACAAAAATGTAACTCACGCTGATAGAAATGTAACTTGAATCAAGTTAATATGTAAGTTGTCTAAAACATAATATAAGAAGTAAAACATTGATTTCAATATAAATAATGAAAAGAAGAAGTCTAATTATCCAATTATTTTACATAAATATTGTACATGTTGTGTAACTCGCATTATATTGAGATGTAACTCGCATTATATTGAGATGTAACTCGCATTGTGGAAAATGTAATTTACATGTAACCGAGATGTAGCTTGATAAAGAAAGTTGACATGTAACTCGTGAATAATAAGATGTAACTCGCGAATAATAAGATGTAACTTCATATATTATCAAATGTAACTCCAATATTAAATTTAAACAATGTTAATAACATCATTAATACACAAAAATATATGATCATTTGAATGCATAGCTTCGCCATGTACATTCTGGATTTCAATGGTCAAGACTCAAGAAGCTTCAAAAATTGAAAAGTACAATCTTTCTAAAAATTAAAAACACAGAACTAAAGAACATAACTTTTGTTAGTCGGTGGAAGTAAAGTTAAATCAACCGGCATATATATCGATTCACTATAGCGGAGGGGATAAAGTAATCGAATTCGAAAGTAGG